ATAAATAATAATTAAAATAAAATAAAAAAAAAGTATAATAATTTAAAATTCTGGCCTTGAAACTGAAAATAAAAATAAAATAAAATCAAAATCAAATCAATCGAAAATTTAAAATAATGTTTTTAAAAACCGTTCAAAAGTTGTTTTGAGATTTTCAAATTGTAAGTGAAATTAATGTTAAAATTTACATTATTTGTGTGCAATGGTGATGGAACATTTTTCTTTTAATATTTATATAGATTAGATTGTCAATCATGCCAGCCAGATGGTGACCCTAAAGTCACCCTATCTCCCCTAAAATGGGGACAGTTCATATCATTGTCCATACTGACCAAGTGCAATCTTTCATCGGTCAGACTATACGAAAGAAAGGTCCACTGTGACAAACATCATGTCTTGTATGGGCTGTTGCATACTTTTTTCTTTATTGATGTAAAAGTTTCCAATAAACTAATATTTAATTGTTAATATCATAATTTAAAAAACTTTTTAATCTGTGACTGAAACAAATAATTACCATATAACTGCACAGATAAGATGAGGTATAAATTTTCATCGAAGTTTTAGAGTTTTAGCATATATCAGTCCTATAAGATAACCCCCAAACTATCAATGGCCTATGAATTTAGTTTAGATTACCGATCATCATCTGGATAATAACACTGTATAGCGTATATGGAATTATGTCCTATTTGTAATTTTTTGAATGAACAAATTTTATTTTCTTGCATCTGACAGCACTGCCTTGCTATTGTTGCAAACATTGGCACTGATTCGGGCGTTCGGGTGACCTTGACTATTTACAGAAATGTCATACAATGGTACCTCAGGATACGAAATTAATCCGTTCCGAAACTGAGATCGTATCATGAAAATGTCGTAAGGTGGATTATCTTTTCCCATACGATTACATGTAAAACCAAATAATTCGTTCCAACGCGAAAAACATACTCAAATTAAAGCCAAGTAATACATTAAAAAAAATAACTGTAGTAAGAAAAACAAATGAAAAATGCGAACTAATGTAACGTCGTATGGTGAGTTTTTGTTCGTATCGTGGAGCAAAAATATGTTCGAATTTCATGTCGTATCCTGAAAATTTCGTATGCTGGGGCGTTCGTAACCTGAGGTACCACTGTATAGGCTATTCTATTTTGTGGACATACCATACTCTCTACTAGTAAATAATTACAGTTTGTCTGCTTTTTATAATAGTTTAATTTATATAAATTTCATCTATTTTTTTTTTTTTTGTATCTGTCCTTTTCCCAAACTGTGACTTTCCAGCAATTACATCAGATCCAATGTCTGAAACAAAAAGTAAAAATTTACTCCTATTACATTTTCCTACTTTACTGAGACAACCCCGGATTTTGGGGGCCTTTTTATAAGCAAATTATTGTATCTGTGCAGATAAGATCGTCTTATCTGCGCAGATATATGGTAATTTGCTTTTAAAATATGGAAGAAACAGTTGTTTTTAAGAATTAGAAATTGTGACAAGATTTTCCTGATTCCAATTCTGATATCCAGAAAATGTCCAATTTTTCTGATTCCCGATTCCAATTAATCATCCCATCACTAGAAAATATACTTAAAATTAAATCTTGGCTGACAGTATTTACATTCTCCTAATTATATCTGACTTCAATTTTTTTGAACTTATATTCTTTGTGAATGTATCTATTGTGTAAAAACAGAATTGGGTGTATTATAGCTTTCATCGAGTTTGAGATATAAGTGCATTCTTATTAAGAGTTATACCAGTTATGGAAGAAAAGATTGAATAGTTAAACCATCAGCTGTATATTTCCTTTTAATGAAAAATTATATAGATACTATCAAAGTCGAATTGAGAACCACCAGTGGAAAAGACAATATATTTTCCACTGGTGGATAGGAAAAGCATTATGAATCTGATCTTTCTTTTAAACAGATATAAATATTGTTATTTTATTTATTTATGTTAGTTTAATATTTAAGTGCAAAATGAAGCTCGGTCCAAAAGATTGCATAAATTATTATGGTAATCAAGCTGGAGGAACATTACAAAATGCAAATTTATATTTTAGATTAAAAATACAGTAGATTGGAAGTGGGAATTACTTTGCAAGGCAACAAATATAAAGAGGATATGGATTTTTTGGAGATTTATTTTTCAAATCTTTTCTTAGTCTCAGTAAAGTAGGAAAATGTAATAGGAGTAAATTTTTACATTTTGTTTCAGACATTGGATCTGATGTAATTGCTGGAAAGTCACAGTTTGGGAAAATCACATTTCAAAGATATCGGATCAGAAATTAAAGACGACATAATTAAAAAAAATATGAGGTAGATCGAGCATAAAAGAAAACGCATTATTTTATCCTATCTATATATACAGATTTTAAATCAATTTTACAAGAAGTTTCTTCAAATATAGTGAATTCTAAATCATTCATAAACCTCTATGTTCAATAATTGTTGTTGAAAATGAAAATATATTAATACAGTAGAGCCTTGAAAACTCGGCACTCGATAACCCGGCACTCCAGATAACTCGGCCACACCCTGGTAGGGCAAAAAAATCCTTAGTTAATTAATTTTCATTATAGACAGCTTTATAAAAGTATAAAAGCTCCCATAAAGTATTTTTCTGAGGTCTATCTTATCAGGTAAATTACTGTACACAGTGTATTCATTAATTTTCATTTTCATGTAGTAAATGCTCTCTGCCTTCATAAAGGACGTACTTTTCCTTTGTTTAAGGGTATTTGGGCAGTTTATTCTGTTGTATTCTCAAGTAAACAATACTTACATTCATTTTTTTTTTTTTTCATTTGATGGTCATCATTTCCCCTTTCGGGGATCAGAATCATCCTTGTCCCGTTTTCACATCACAAGGAGGACGTTTCGTTCATTAAAATTAACATTATTACAAATTGACATTAAGTACATAGAGTAAAAAGTTATAAAATACATAAATAACACTGTACAGCCTGCTTGTCTAACTTGACAAGCATGTGCCGGAAGCTTTCCGGTCAATAGGTGGTGAAGAGGACTTTCTCCATCACCTTTACAAAAGTGTCCTTCTCACGAAGGTCCTGAGGTCATGTTTGAGGCACTTATCTCTGATGAGGTTATAGAGTTGTAGGTCATTATTTCCAGTGTTTAAATGATGAAGACTTAGAATTTCTGTCCTTTCTTTATCATACTTGTAACAGTTAAGTAATAGATGACTTATGTCTTGAATGCCGCTACCACAATCGCATACTTCTGATTGCCTTTTACCGATTTTCTTTAAGTATGAGTAGCAATTCCCGTGGCCTGTATATAGTTGACAATTGATGTGATCCATAGGGAGCCAATTGAGTTCTTTGACTCGTTCTTCCACGCTTGGTATTAACCAAAACGTGTGTCTTCCTTTCTGAGAGTATGACCATCTGTCTTGCCACTCTGCGATGGTTTCGTCTCTGAGTAGTCTCTTTATCCCCGAAATGGGGATCCTGCCTTGAGTCACGTCAGTCATGTGTGCCGCCTCCTTAGCTAGGAGGTCCGCTCTCTCGTTCCCAAATATGCCACTATGGGCCTTTATCCATTTCATTTTGATGTTAATTCCACTTTGATTTATTATTTGTTTAATATTTAAAGCTGTTGCATTAGTATCAGCAAATTGTTGTAGAGTATCTAAAGCAGATCTGCTATCTGTATTTATTATGATTTGATCAGACACGTGGGTTCTTGTTACCCACATAATTGCTCTTTCGATAGCATAGAGCTCAGCTTGAAAAACCGAGCATGAGTCCATTAATCTATATTGTTCAGTATGAATTTCAGCGTCATTCTGCATTGCCATAAAAGCAGCTCCAACGTGGTTATCCACTCTCGAGCCGTCTGTGAATATTTCGATCGAGCCTTTTTCCCTCACCTCTGCAATGTTTATGGCTTTTCGATCATACAGCATAGGTAGCATAGCTACTTTGGGCGCTAGATCAATATCTTTATCAGAGTATTCTTGTCCTGCAATTTGAATGTTGTTACGTCTTCTGCAGAGGCATAATTTCGCCTTCTCTTTTAGTATCAAGTCAATGGGTGGTGTTCCAGCCACCACTTGAACAATACTTACAAGTACAATACAGTATTTTCTGAGGAAACACTCGTACTTATTTTTGTAACCCCATTCCCGATAACCCGGCATTTTCACAAACTCGGCCACCCTTCGGTCCACATTAGGCCGAGTTTTCGAGGCTCTACTGTATATACTAATTTTTATTATGGTAATGATTCTGTTAATCATTTATTATTTGATATTCAACAACAATAAATACTTCATTAAATAAAATAAATTGTTGCAGAGAAATTAACATGAATACTGTTTTTTAATAATTGTAGACATTTTTGTCATAATTGTAAAGAAAAATTTAATGATGTCATAATAATGGATTATGATCATTTAACATGAGAATTCAGAGGATGGCATATAAGAATTGTAATTTAAATTAACAAATGAAAAAATTTATTTATTATATTACACAATTTTTCAGGTTATGATTTGTATTTGTTTCTTAAAAATACACCATCTAAGCTGTTTTCAAAAATTTGTATTATTTCCTGTAAATTCAGAAAAATTTACATTTGAATCAAATTTTTTAAAAGTTATTGATAGTTATCAATTTTTAAATTCTTTTCTTTGTACTTTAACTGAAAATTTTAAAAAAATGTAAATTGTAAGTTTCCTATTTTTAACCAGTTTTTACATGATAACAAAAATAAAGAATTACAGAAAAGTAATGGAATTTTTCCACATTCTTGTTTTAAACATGAAAATATATTAAATCACTCAAAAGTAATAAGATATAACTTAACAACTGAGTTTTTACAAAGTTTTATTTAAGTAGCTAAAAAGGAAGATAGTTGTTAGGATCTAAACTTTTTTACTGACTTAGAAAAGCAACAAAATAAATTGAAAAAGGTAAGCATCAACTTAGTTCCTTTATTAACTAATAAACTAAATATTACAGGAGTAAAAAAGAAAAAGTCTAAGTGAAGAAGAAAAATTAAACAAAACATGCAAAATATGGATTAAAATGCAATTGTAATAGAAATACAAGAGTATACATTGGAGAAACAGGAAGACAGTTAAAAATACAAATGAAAGAACATGTAACAGCTTTAAGATTTAAACATCAGTGGTCACTGTGGACAATATGTCAAAAATAAATAATTGTAAAATATTATTAGAGTGATGCCTCGTACTTTGAACTTTATTCATTCCGGGAGGTCGTTCAAAGTCTGAAGCAATTTTTCCCCCATAAGAAATAATGGAAAGGGAATTAATTCATTCTCCAACCCTGAACAATATCCGTTTTGATAAACTTAAAATTGCAAATACACATAATTTAAGGTAAAAATAATACAATTATATGCTGTAATAATAAATTAAAATTTGAAAACAATAAATAAAATACATAAATAATGTATAATAAAATAAAAATTGCATTTCCTGGTCGTGCACTGTTGACTTTGACATCTTAAACATGGTTACCAAATCTGCCTCATGCATACTGCTTTCATGTTTTGTGATAGGTTTCTTTTTAATTTCAATTGTTGATACTACAACCTTCCTTTCAGACTCTGTTGCTTCCACACCCATTTGGAAAAAGTTAATTATAAAATTTTTTAAAATTATATCCAATAACAACAATCAATCTCCCGGATCATATCGGAGTACAGTATATTACAGCTATGTTTAATAATTAGAACATAGAGTAATTTTGACCAGAGATAGGCAATTAAGTCACCATTTCACAATATGATAAATTTAATAATTATTTATAATTTAATAATTAATTTAGAAAGTTCTGGAAGAAAAGAATCTGCTCGGAGTGGGACTGTAACCCGTAATTTTCACACACCCTGCAGACACATTGCCAATTACACCTGTTTGATATTAATCGAGAATTGGGTTATTTGATGTTTATATTTGATATCTTTTAGTAACAATCACTGTGTAGTTCAATCAAATGAGCAAAAATTAATATTTAGATTTGTCAAATAAAATGCCATGTAATTGCTTTGGTAGAATAGTTTCAGAAGCTTCATTATTTTTTTAAAATACTCTAGCATTTATTAAGTTATTGACAGTGATTACAGAGGTAATATTGATATTAATATATAATTTTGGTGGTGGTGGTGGTGATCATTATATAAAAGCTGAAAGTGAAATTGTACAAATAATAACGAGAAAAGCTTACATCAGTGGCGTAGCGTGGGTGTCAGCCACCCAGGGCGGACGAAAATTTCGCCGCCCCCTTATTTAGGTATCTCAACTTAAAAGACTAAAATTCAGTTTCGTCACAGAATAAGTAATGAAAAATTCCGTGCTCATTTCAATCGGTCCGAATCGTAGGTGCAACAAAAATATGAAATGAATTGGTTCAAATTTTTACAAGCTATTATTATTATTTATTGTGAAATTTTGCCGCCCCCACTACGCTATGCCACTGGCTTAGATCAAACTTTTATAGAAAAATCTTTTCTAAATGTGTCCAAATAAAGTGATAAAGGATTTGGTGAATGTACTAAAACATCAGAAAATAAAAAAACAATGTATTATTCATTAATAATTAAATAATTAATAAAATAATGTATATATAAATAATTAAAACTTGAGTTACACATAACTTATTTGTTATTAATATTGTAACCTCTTATTTTATATATAATTACATATTTAATTAATATTCATTGTAACTGAAAATGTTTGGTAAACCAGTACTGTACAATTATGTATATTTGTTGCAAAAAAATAAAATAATTTAAAATAATTTTTGTATATTTATAATTTTTTTTCTTAAAAAATTAAAAACAGTTAATCAACATATGCCTGTCAGTTAAAAAATTTTTCTTTTTTTACCAGCAGATGCAAATACAGTAGAGTTCTGTAGAACACTATAGGATATGTTCTGCATTATAGGAATTAAGTGAAAACTTCATTTTTGAATTTGCAGATAAACTAAATTGGGAATACAGTAGAGTCCCGAAAACTCGGCCTAATGTGGACCGAAGGATGGCCGAGTTTGTGAAAATGCCAGGTTATCGGGAATGGGGTTACAAAAATAAATAAGATTGTTTCCTCAGAAAATACTTTACTTTACTTGTATGTATTGTTTGCTTGAGAATACAACAGAGAATAAACTGCCCAAATACCCTTAAACAAAGGAAAAGTATGTATTTTATGAAGGCATAGAGNTTCCGGGAGGTCGTTCAAAGTCTGAAGCAATTTTTCCCCCATAAGAAATAATGGAAAGGGAATTAATTCATTCTCCAACCCTGAACAATATCCGTTTTGATAAACTTAAAATTGCAAATACACATAATTTAAGGTAAAAATAATACAATTATATGCTGAACAATAAACTAAAGCTTGAAAACAATAAATAAAATACATAAATAATGTATAATAAAATAAAAATTGCATTTCCTGGTCGTGCACTGTTGACTTTGACATCTTAAACATGGTTACCAAATCTGCCTCATGCATACTGCTTTCATGTTTTGTGATAGGTTTCTTTTTAATTTCAATTGTTGATACTACAACCTTCCTTTCAGACTCTGTTGCTTCCACACCCATTTGGAAAAAGTTAATTATAAAATTTTTTAAAATTATATCCAATAACAACAATCAATCTCCCGGATCATATCGGAGTACAGTATATTACAGCTATGTTTAATAATTAGAACATAGAGTAATTTTGACCAGAGATAGGCAATTAAGTCACCATTTCACAATATGATAAATTTAATAATTATTTATAATTTAATAATTAATTTAGAAAGTTCTGGAAGAAAAGAATCTGCTCGGAGTGGGACTGTAACCCGTAATTTTCACACACCCTGCAGACACATTGCCAATTACACCTGTTTGATATTAATCGAGAATTGGGTTATTTGATGTTTATATTTGATATCTTTTAGTAACAATCACTGTGTAGTTCAATCAAATGAGCAAAAATTAATATTTAGATTTGTCAAATAAAATGCCATGTAATTGCTTTGGTAGAATAGTTTCAGAAGCTTCATTATTTTTTTAAAATACTCTAGCATTTATTAAGTTATTGACAGTGATTACAGAGGTAATATTGATATTAATATATAATTTTGGTGGTGGTGGTGGTGATCATTATATAAAAGCTGAAAGTGAAATTGTACAAATAATAACGAGAAAAGCTTACATCAGTGGCGTAGCGTGGGTGTCAGCCACCCAGGGCGGACGAAAATTTCGCCGCCCCCTTATTTAGGTATCTCAACTTAAAAGACTAAAATTCAGTTTCGTCACAGAATAAGTAATGAAAAATTCCGTGCTCATTTCAATCGGTCCGAATCGTAGGTGCGACAAAAATATGAAATGAATTGGTTCAAATTTTTACAAGCTATTATTATTATTTATTGTGAAATTTTGCCGCCCCCACTACGCTATGCCACTGGCTTAGATCAAACTTTTATAGAAAAATCTTTTGATACTACAATGTATTTGCCCAGTAATTTTATGAAATATAGTTATGACTTGGCATATTATTATTGATTCCACTCTATACTATTATTTGTTTTTAATTTTAATGTGTGAAAGTAATGTGAAATTGATATACTTGTATATTTCATATTAATTTTAATGTGTGTTTTTTTTAAATGAATTATTTACAATTATAGCCATCCACTGTTCTGACCAATTTGCAAAGAGGGAATGTCCAGACACAGACTGCCTGCCAACTTCCAGGTGAGGAGGGACTCAAATTTTTATACTTTAATATTTTTGATTTTAAAATATTTTCTAATAATGATTATACATTCCAGAAAGAAGCGTTCATCAGTTAGCTGCTCAAGGTGAATTGTTCAGTCAGCACTTTGGTTCGTATATCTTTCGTTTTGAAATCAATACTATATGATGTTTTACATTTTATCATATCTTTTTTATTTATTTATGCATATTGGTTTCACCCTTATACAAATTACAAAAACCAATACATAACAGTAAAAAAAAATCACAGTAATACTATAATTAATGAATTATTACAGAATATATATATATATAACAAAATGTCAACATAATCAAAATCATGGGGAGAACTATCTGAAGAAAATAATAATAAATTATATATAAAATAACAAAGCCACCTAAAAGCAGAAAAAAATTATCATGTGAAGACAATGGATAGTTTCCCAAATTCCTTAGGCTCAAACATACATTTAAAGGAAATAAAATAAAGCCACCTATGCACAGAATCAAATTATTCCAAATGCAAAGCAGAACAAAATTAAGCACCAATCTATCTGAACGACAATAATAAGGCCCAAAAATCTTTCAAAAGAAATTGTAGAAACACCAAAAATACTTTCACGTAATTTTGNAAAGTAAATGTCAAATCATTGATGAATTTTTATTTGCTAAATATCTTGAATGTGATGGAAAAGGTCTGACAATATATCGGAATTTAGAAGAATATTTGAATAAATACGACATTCCAATTAACAATATAACAGCAGTAGCCACAGATGGCGCACCTGCTATGGTAGGCCGTTACCGAGGTTTTGCAACTTTTCTTAAAGAAAAAGTCCCTGGAATACGTACTGTTCACTGTGTGTTGCATAGAAACCACCTTGTAGCAAAATATCTCAGTCCAGATTTGCATAATGCTTTACAGTTTTGTATTAAATCTATTAATCAAATTAGAGCCCATCCTCTTAAATCGAGATTGTTTTCCAAACTTTGTGAGAAAAATGACGAATTAACAAACCAGTTACTTTTACACACCGAAGTCAGATGGTTGTCTAGAGGTGCATGTTTACAAAGGCTCGTTGAGTTATTTGATTCTACGATAGAATTTCTTACCGAAATAAATTCTGTTCTAAGTGATGAACTACAAAAACATAAGAACCACATTTTTTACTTAGCTGACTTATTTGTAAAATTCAATGACGTTCAATCAAGGCTTCAAGGTAAAGATGTCACAATTATTCAAGCTCGGACAATTCTTTTAGGCTTCCAAGTTAAATTAAACTTGTTTAAATCTTCATTGTTACGTAAAGATTTTCAGTACTTTCCAAATCTAAGAAAATTGCAAATAACAGAAGAAGACTTGGAAATATATACAAATCATCTTCAAAAATTGAGCAATGATTTTAAAGTGCGTTTTGCAGATTTAGAAAATATCGATATTCCAGAATGGATTATGGCGCCATTTTCTGCTCAGATCGAAAACGTCGACATCAACCTGCAAGATGAACTTATAGAATTATTAGAAGACCTTGAAGCAAAAACGCTTTTCAAAAATTTAACTTTAAACAATTTCTGGACGAATGTAAACATAACAAAAAAATACACCAAACTTTGTGATATTGTAAATCCTCTTTTGTTGGCATTTCCAAGTTCATATATGGTCGAAGCTGGTTTTAGCCATGTTAATTCCATCTTAACCAAACAGAGAAATAAGTTAAATATGGAACTTCGAGGCGATTTAAGACTGAAGCTAACAAATTTTGACCCAAATATTGCTAATCTTGCGAAGGAACATCAAGCTCACCCGTCTCACTGATTGTGAGTTACAAATAAATGTAAAGTATGGAAAGTATGTACAATTAAAGGAAATGCGTAGTAAAATCGTTTCTCTTTCTTTCGTGGTTTTTTTTCTCATACACTTGCACTCGTAATAAAACTTTACGGTGGGGGTCAATGTGAGGTTTTGGAAAGTTGTTGGGGGTCGAAGGTTAAAAAAGTTTGGCGACCCCTGGCATAGAGCCTTTACTACATGAAAATGAAAATTAATGAATATACTGTGTACAGTAATTTACTGATAAGACAGACCTTAGAAAAATACTTTGAGGCATAAAGCTGTCTATAATGAAAATTAAGTAAGGTTTTTTTTGTCCTGCCAGGGTGTGGCCAAGTTATCCGGACTGCCGGGTTATCGAGTGCCGAGTTTTTGGGACTCTACTGTACTTAGTTACTATACTGTCGCAGCATTCCCTAAAGGGATGGTCAAGATAAAGTGGATTTCCGTGCACAATACCCTGCAGCTTCAGTCCTCTGAAGAAAGTCATATGGGTAAGACACAACACACCAAAAACACACCCAAAGTTTCACTCTGGGACCTGCTGAAATCATGCACTACACCCATATCTGACAATCTTGACATAATATAATGCTAGTCAAAAAACTGTGACAATGCTGAAGGGCCCCTATGCTATGGCACCACGTGACCAAAGGATAGAAATCACATTGGCAATGACTAGTTTATCAGGACTGACACCACTGTGTTTTAAGGAACACAGAAACCTCGATGGCCTGTTTGTTTGTTTTATATAAGCGGTCGTGTGTGTAGGCATCTGGATTCAAGATGGAGATGGTCTGAGAGACAGAATATATGGAGAAAAAGCATTTCTAAAAATTTATCCATTTTATTGTAAAGACTACTTACACAAATATACATATCTGAACTTAGGGTATCACAATAAAGTATCACATTCCTAATTAAATCGGATCCCTGAGAGAGAGTTTACAATCAAATGCAACATAGATAGATATCTTATTGGTGGTGGATGCTTTGGTTCCATAGATTTAATAGATTCTGTAGATTCGGTAGATGGTCCTTTCCTGGGAATTTCATGGATTCCTTTTAAAGTAAGATGATATCCAATCTGATGATCCAAGTGATATCCAAATGGTGGAAGAACTGTCTGAGAAGATCGAGACTTGCTTCCGATGAGATAGCAAACCTAAACCCCAACTCTCTCGAGATGCTTGTCGAACTTTCCTGTCGTCATTGATTCCATTCTTTTATTCTGGATGTGTCACCGGGAATCTAACGAAACAAAATCGCTATTGGACACAGACTGTGAAATTGCCAAAAAAAAGGACAAAAGTAGTGAGAGGGAGGACCCTAAAATAAAAAACAGGATCAATGACGACAGGAGAGTTTGTCGATCATCTTGAGTGTGTTGGAGTTCAGGTGGTCAAGAAAACTTTCACTCTGGACCTGCTGAAATCATGCACTACACCCATATCTGACAAGGAAGCAACTCCATGGGAAAAGATATAATCACATTTTCCAACGATAAAGTTTTTGCTGGGAAGAATTTTAACAAATTTAATTTAGAAAAAATTCATTTTTTTTCATTCAAAAATTTTTCGTCAAGTCCAAGCTCTCACAAAACCATAAAGTTATTTGTTTCAAACGCGCAAGATTTTAAAAAAGGTTAACAAAACTCAGTCCACAGAATCATGACACCTAAAAGGTCCAATCTGAAAGTGCTAACTCTCTTCGTCCTTTGGGTACTAAGAGAGTCATTTAATCAAGCATCTGCCAAACAGTGAAGAATGAAGATCCAAGATATCCAGGATGACTATACTCAAAAAACTTTTGTGATGTTTTGACCCAATTGAATTCAGAGATAGGCTGAAACCTTAATTTTTGATTGGCTATCTGGCTGTTACTGCAAAAAATCTGCCAGGGACAAATATTTTTAGATTCAAAAGAATTCATGTATATTACATTAAATTTATTTTGTATTCTAAATGAAGCACACTACTACATATTTTATATTTGAAGATCTACAAAATACACTGTCATCTGATTACAGTAGAGCATTGATTATCCGAATGTCGATCAACTGAAATGTCAATTAACCGAAAGCTTTCCAGTTGGCAAATTTAAATTTCTACTAGTGCTGTGGCACTGCAATCTTTGGTTATGTCTTGGGCTACTCCAATATAATTTTTGTTGGTGCGCATGTTTTAGCTGGCAGCACTGGCGCGACCGTGAGAGGGTACTTAAGCACGTTCCAGGATTTTAATGAATTTCAACATGTGATAGGTTAATATATTTTTTCGTACCTAATCGGTTATCCAAAAAATCGATTTTCCGAACAACCCCAGTCCCAGTTGATTCGGATAATTGATGCTCTACTGTATTACCTTTACATAGCATATTTCTTCACAAATAAGAGCATACTCTTACAAGTGGAAAGTATTTGTTTTTGTATTTTTAAATACATGGACTGCTTTGCTTATAAGAGCATATCTCAAATAAATGCATTCTCGTATGTGTGCCGGCTCATTTTGGCTTATAAGAGAACTGCACTGATATGTCAATGTAAATTAAATATAAAGGATGCAGTAACTATTCAGTGGCATTTCTATGGTAACTATTATTAAAAGTAAAAATGCTTCCAAACTATAAACCTTTTTTAAAATAATAAGTTTTTTTAAGTAAATTAAACTTCACTCTGACACCGGGGATGAAATACTAAATACTGAACCTGTTACCGGTGAAATTTGCGTGAAAAATCTTCTTTCCACAAACGTTTTCGAGCTTTCCAACTAGCTCTTCTTCAGGTAGACAAAAAAAAAAAAAAAAAACTTCGACTAAGCTGACATCATCGACACTACGCCCCACCTGGAACAACTAAAATGGTGGGAAGCTATATCCATCTGTAAGGCTAACCACCGGACCACATGTATAAATCGGAAAGATGAGATTAATCTTTCTATAGCGTGGCAGGCCCTCATAAACAACGATCTATAAATAGCAACATCAGCGCACAAATGCGCATAAATATAGTCAGAATTAACAAGTACCTGTCCAACAGTCTTGCGAAGACTGTTGGACAGGTACTTGTTAATTCTGACTATAAAAATTTATTTGTCAAAAAGGTAAACAAAAAGCTGGAATTACAAGGGAGAGTTTCAAAATTTGGAGGGATACTATCCGATCAGTATTGGGTTGAGTGTCAATGTTGATGTCTCCCGTGCTTTGAAAGGTTTCAAATTGTTACCTGAAAACAAGGGAAAATCAATTGTATTCGTTATTTTTTGTCACTTCTTTTTATGTTTGTTCAGTAAAGTGTTAGTTGTCCGATTATAAAAAATCTTTCGCGAAAGTGTTTGTTATCCGATTTGTTCGCTGTCCAAACTGTTAACCGATCACCCACTGTATTTTGTTTTATTTTGTATTTTATATTATTAATCAAGTTTTTTTCATATTTACAACTAATTTGTAAGCAAATCATTATGAATATATTTAAGTTGTAACAGTTTTTTTATTTCAAATGTTTGAATGTATAAATAAACTGAGTTAAATTTAAATTTTAAAAGCTTTTTTTTTCCATTTAGATGAAGATAACAGTTTATTGAATGTGCAAGATAATAATGGATTTACGCCATTATTATGGGCTAGTGCTTGCGGTCAGCTTGCGACTGTTCGATTATTACTAGAAAAAAATGCAAATGTAAATATTGGTGGAAAGAGAGGAGAAACTGCGTTGCTGTTTGCAAGTGCCAACGGGCATGCACACATTGTTCGAAAATTACTTCAGCACAAGGCAGATGTGAACGAAACCGATCAGGTACTGTTGCTTATAATCTTATCAAACAATTATATTACTAACAACTATTTTGGTCTAAAAATAATCTTTTGAGTTGCTATAATCAAGTGACTAATGCAAATGAAGAATTCTCGAAAGTTGATTCCATAAAGTTTTGATTCTTACAAAAGTCACATATTGAAATTTAAGTTCAGAATTATTTTTGACAGTGAATGTATTTTAGTTGTTTATAAAGGGGAGAAACAAGAGTGCAATGCTGTTATAGAAGCTTGTATATATGAAACCAAATGACTTAAACAACATAAAAATGTTATTTCCTTCTTGAAACAATTACTGCTAAATGTAACTATTCCATATTTGTTGGTTTATTAATTAGTGACTATGACGGAAGAGTTGGTGATTTTATTACATCAGAAAATTGAGTTTTTCATTTGACTATCAAATATACCCGAATATACAGACAAAAACCATTTTTTCACAGACATATACTGTATTAAAATACACCGTAATGAAAACCACAAACTTTGAGAAATTCCAGAAAAATCTATTCTAGTGAAATAACTTCACAAATTAAATTTAAATTTTTTAATACAATTTACAGTTCACTGTTTAAATTTTTCAAATTCTTAAATTTAACAAATAATTCAGTTTTCAAAATATGATTTGCATTCAAAATTCATATTAATACAGTGATAACTCGGTTTTTGTTGATAATCTGTTCGAAAACAATTAGCGAAATCTGAAACTGAAGAAAACCGAGGCAATTATTTCCACGTGAATTAATGTAAATCCAATTAATTTGTTCTAGACACTCCAAAATACATACAAAAACAATTTTTTTAGAGAACAAGTATAGTGTTTAATACTAAAAACAATACTAAATTAATATAAAATGAATATAAAAGATTATGGTGATGGCCTCTGAAACAGAATTGCCATCTAACTGTTTTTGATTGATCCAAATTAATAATATGGTATGATATGATTAAAAATGTTAGAAGGCCAAACCTTACGGAATAGCCTTTGAAAAGGAAGGATGAAGAGTTTTAGAGGAAGTGAGAAGAGGGAAGAAAAGGAAGGAATGATAGGAAAGTGTGAAATGGGAACCATGACACTGTCGCATTCCATTTATTGAGTATACTTTAATTACAACACACGGGGCATAGCTCACAGATAACAGTATGGTCAAAATATATACAGAAAATAAGCCCGCATATGGTACTGCCTCTAGAGAGACGGGGAACGCGAACAATTGACAGCTATGCACGTGGGCAACCAACACGAACTGCTGAAAATATCAACCCGGAATGTGCTGGAGTACAAAAGCACAAAGTTAAACATGAGGGGAAAAAAACCAAATTAATAATAACTGTTTGACATCTTCAATTGTTTGCGATCTCTGTTACGTTAGCACATTCACGCTTTTCGCTACATTAGTCTCATTTATTGCTTGCTTTTTTCACCACAATGGAACTTATTGTGGATGGTGACTTTCCATATATACAGCTGATTTCAGCAATCTTAATGCTGCTCTTGTATTTTTCAATGATTTTCTTTTTTAACTTGATCATGTTCCTAGCCTTCTTCTTCAAAGGGCTGCTGGCTCTGGAAACTTTTTGATCTCATGATGGAGCAAAAAGGAAAGGAAAGCAATAGAATTGTTTGGCTAGACATGTGGGGCAATGCTCACACAACGAGAAACAATGCCATACTGAGCAGGAAAACGCATGAGTCTCCCTTTGGTTTTGCAAAATTAGCATCGAGGTCACGCCAATGAAATCCGAGGCAACCGACAAAAACCAAGACAAATTTTTCGTGGAAATAATCGACGATAACTGAAGTCAACGAAAACCGAGATATTACTGTATTCTAGATATAATAAATAATCAACAAATTCTTAATCTATCCTGCTTTTTTAGAGCCATTTTTAATTTCATCCTTTATATTCGTGTGTTTTTTCAAATGACAATATTTCCTCATTTTTACATGATTAAATAAATATATTGCTTTCATATATCTTAAGTTCACTGTTAATGGTAAAGACCATTAACATGCTTTTTAGTCATTAGTTCATAATCATTTTGGACTTTACTGATGATATTCTGTCTTCCAATCAATAATAGTATTTATGATCCATAGCTTTTCTTGCTGTACTGGCTTTTGTGGCTTTCTGAAAAGTAATGCTTTACCAGTTCTTGTTTTTGTTAGTACAGGTTATATGGCAAAAGCCTAAGCTTAACAGAAAGCTTCCTTAGAATAATGTTCACCAATTGTCGAAATCTGCTGATGGCAATCAGTTATTTTGTGATTTAAAAGTCGATGAAAAGAATTCTTCCAAAATGATGATACTAATCAATAAAATAGTCTGACAAAGATGAATTAAACATGATTCAAACATGTTCTGTTGGAATGTGTGTTTATGGTTCATACCTTATGTACGAGGGCTATTTTTTAAATAAGGTCCATTTGTGAATGAGAGTGAGAATGATGTGCAATTGTAGCAGTTTGCATGAGCATCTACTTTCAGCATGCTTTGCGTGTTTTAGATGCCATTTGCAGCCGTATCATCTGTCTGTGTGCCGAACTGTAGAAGTTCATAATGTTTAAGAAAATTGAGTTGCCCGCTGACTGTAAGATAGGATCTGTTATTTGATTTCAGCACAAAAGATCATGGTAACTGTCTTTTGGGACAGGAAAGGGACTTTGTTAGTGGATTTTATGCCAAGAGGCATAACAATCAATTCTGATGCTTGTTGTGACCTTGAGAAAATTCTGCCGTGCCATACAAGACAAGCAGCGTGGCCTAATGTCTTCCGGCGGTAGGTGGCAGATTTCTTTGAAGTCGGAATTTAAAAAATTTTTGAGCGGTATGACAAATGTTTGAACAAAAATGGAAATTATGTAGAAAAGTAGATAAAAGTATGTAGAATATGGGAAAAAATATATTTTAATGATGTTTACAGTATTTTTCTTCTTATTAAAAAACAGACCTTATTTAAAAAATAGCCCTCGTAGAATGTTGCTCTTCTAAAATTTTACTGCATTTTGTGTACTGTATTAGGTCCAGATCAGTGTTGTGTAGGTTTATTGGTGTATGTTTTTTTTGTCTGTAAGAGTTACAGCTTTGTGTAATTCTAATGGTTTTTGTTTTTTATAGAAAAACCACCAGAGTAGATTTCAAAAATTAAGTTCAAACCTCATTTTTCATTCAGAGTTCTAGAACTGTAATCTTAAGTTACACTGAAAAATTGACAGGACAAAAAAAATTTTAAGTTTACAAAATTTATGAAAATTCTTAAAGACAATACAAAAATGTGTCTTCTCACTTGTCCTTTTACAATTTTCATAAATTTAAAAATTTTTCTGTCCCGCCAATTTTTATTGAATATATATATTTTTTTTATATTGAACCATTGCCAGAAGGATGTTTAAATGTTTTTACATACTGAGGCGGATGAGTAACCTCAAATGAAAGATTGACTCAGCTGAAGAACTATTATTTTCCTCATGCATGTGAAAAGACACATTTTTTGCATTTACTTTAAGAATTTTCTTAAATTTTGTAAATTTTAAGTTACACTGGCTCAGCTAAACCAACATAAAAGTCCATTTCAAAGACACTATTTTAAGTAGGTCTACACAAAATTTATGTAGACCTATGCTGTTACAAAAACCATTGCACTTCCCTCTAGCTAGGAACTGATGAACCAGTTAAATTTGTATTTTTTTGCTGACATTATAAAATAGTGGAACAAAATTTTGGTAAGCCACTTCATATATTTTTAAGGGCTATTTGTGTGTAACCCAGGGCCGTATGCAATAGGTGCGAGACTCAATTGAATTTTTTTTTGCGGGGCCCCTCAAACTTTAAATAACAAAATTAATTAACAGTTAATTTACATATTGAAATATAGATTTTTTTAAATATTTATTTAAAACAAAATCCAAAATTTAATTATAAAAATCAAAAGCCATGAACCATAAGGTAGACAAATTTCTACATTAAAAAACCTGTACCAAATATAAATACAACTACATTATATTGAATATAAATGTACATAGATATGTTTTAGTATTTCTATATTTTTAAATGAATATAACCATAAATTTTTGCCATGAAAAAACCTTCTAATGTGTTGATGAATGAATATAACTGAATTTTATTGAATATAAACCTATAAAGAGATGTTTTATATGTTATGAAGTTTTTGTTCTGTAAAATCTTCTAAAATAGTATCAAAATCCAATTGGCTTGCTTGTTGGCTCTCAGTCGACACGATCGCTAAACTGTTTAGTCTATTCTGTAATTTGAAACTATTTTTAAATATATAAATTTTGATGTCCTGCGGGGCCCGATTGGTGCAAATCGCTCCAATTCCTCAAATCCTGTTTTGGTGTAACCTGATACATGGATGTCATGGTTTTGGATGGGTTGGTCTTGTTTATTTTACAATTTTTCAGTGATTTCAAACTACAAATATAAACATCCATTAACCCGATTTTTAGATTAATTCCAAATTTAAAATTAATTATTAAATATTAATTTAATTATAATTATGATCTCTAAATTTATCTAAATGGCACCTAATGTCTACCTCTAGGCAAAATTACTTTATATCAGGCTATATATTAATTATTAAATATCTGGCACACACAAACTGGAACTATATAGTAAACAAATAAATTCACACCTAAATGCTAATTCTAGCAGTAAATGAACAAATAAATTTAGGTGTGAATTGTTTGTTTATTAAATATCATCAGGTAATCATTTGAAATTGATTTAAAATGAAGTAATTTTTAGGATTTATTGAATCTGTAAGATATTATTGGATGTTTTATATTTTGTAGTATATTAAGCTTACATTTAAGGTGAAAGTGCATCAGTTTCACCTACAATCACATGGTAGTGGTGATTTTCTGCAGCTACTGGATTTTTTGCTTCATTTTTCATCAAATTGACTTAGCTGTGCTTCTATGATATGCTATGTGCTATTCATCTGATAATTAAAAATTTCAGT